GACAGGGGTACAAGATTTAAGGCACTAAAATGATTTCAATCAGAACACAGAATATAAAATAACTCGAAGCACAAATCAGAAAAACAAACCAAAGAACATATCCTGTGCATTCTGAATACAATATGGCATCTTTATCCAATAAAAAAAATAATAAAATAAAAAAAAGTAATGAACCATATCACAGAGTTTGGCAAAAGACTGTATGTAAAGTGGGCATTATTAATTTTACTGAGAGCGTTCCTGTAGTTTCAGGGCTTGGCAGACGGCAGGTGAACACTACCTGCCCCAAAGTATAGCACTAAATGAAAAGTTTGGTGGAGGAGGAAAACGGTCTGTTTTCATGGTGTAGGTCCACAGTTCAAGCATACAGTGACATTCTAAAGCACTGGTTCTCAAAATGCTCCTTTGGCATTTTTCATTTTTGTGTTACAAGTTACGATGGAGCAAAAATCTGGACCATCTGGGTGAACTTGAGGAAAACTTGGAGAACCACTGCTCTAGAGAACTGTGAGTTTCCAACTTGGTGGCAACAGTTTGAGGAAGGTCCTTTCCTGTTTAACCATGAAGATGCTCTAGTGCACAGAGCGAGTTCCAGAAAGAAATGTTTGGTGTGAAAAAACTTGCCAGACCCTCACAGAGCCCTGACATCAATCTCATCCAACACCTTTGGGATGAATTGGAACAGTGACTGTGAGTCATACCTTATGGCCCAACATCAGTACCTGACCTCACTAATGCTGAGCAAATCCCAGCAGTCATGTTCTAAAATCTAGTGTAAAGCCTTCCCAGAAGAGTGAAGGCTGTTATAGCAGTGAAGGGACATAAGAGTTGATATAGAACGCACAGGTACTTGAGTACTCCTGTTAACCGTTCCAGGTACCAGTACTTGAATACTGAAATCACTATTTGGATATTTAAATTGCTGCATCACAGAAACTCAGGGAGAAGATATACAAATCAACAATTCAGTGAAACTTTAACAGGGCTATCAAGTCCAACAGCTTTGCTTGTGTTTAAGACTAAGTAAGTATATTCTAGTTTGCTACAATGAAGCACAGTTGCCATAAAGCAAGTGTGTTGCCAAAGACATATTGCTGTTTAAGAGATGCAGCTAGGTCAAGTTCTCTTGCTGGGGTTAGGTAGAACTGAAAACAATGTATATATTTTTGTTCTCAGGGTTACCTCAACAAACTAATATGATGGCATGTTCACTGAACAGAAAAAGTGCAGATGTTTTCAGAAGTACACTTTTGTGAGCAGTTCAATTTTCATTAATGCTACTGTTTTTTAGCCTGCTGGCACTAGTTTACTATGTTTAATGATATGTTAATACTAGGTGATGAGATGTTTTTCCTAACCAAATATCTGTTCATGCACTCTTAAGGATACTGAAATATGTGAATGCAAATCCCTGAGTTAATGTCTATGGTTTTGGAATGTGGTGTTCAATTAGCACTTGTAGATGCGATGTGATCTGTCCACAAACACACTAAATACAAATTTGCTCAGTAATCTGATACACGCAATTCTAGACTAGTGAACTTACTGCTCTGGCTCTACTGTTACATTAAAGGTCTCTTTGCGCGCTGAGATTTGATTTTTGTTGCAGTGTTGGTGCGGCTTTAGCTAAGGTCACTAGTTGGTAAGAGGAAAAAGTTTCCTCAAAAGATCTCTTACCAAGGAAACACTTTACCCAACAAGATCTGAGAGAAGAACAGCAGAAGGTTAAAGAAAGAAAAGCTTGTAAAAACTAGAAAAGATAATTGCTGTCTTGCCAAAATCACCCAAACCTTATAGTGCAGGCTGTTGAGACTCCCTAAGCCCTCAATCCAAGAATACATGAAAAAAAGAAGGGAGGGAGGAAAGAAGAAAACACACACACACACACACACACACACACACACACACACACAGAGATAAACCAGTGCACACGTACACACGCAGCCCACAACTGCGGACTGACCTCCTCTCTGAAGCACCTGAGCTGGATGTGCTGCGTGAGAGAAGTTCTGAAGCTTCTGAAAATTGCAGCGGGATGAGAGGCGGCCCAGAAACGGAAGGAGCAGCCCTTACTCCCCACCACCCCACCGACCCCTCCCATCTCTTCCCCAGTCCCTTGGCCCCCACAGCACACTTTGATGTCTGCTTCTCAGCTACCTCTCCTCTCCTCCTCCCTTTAGCTATGACTGGAAGCATCTCTCTGTCTGTCTCTCGGCCGGAAATAAGAAAGGGTATCTCTCCAAAGGGGGGGGGTGTAGGTGGTCCTTACGATGAGGGAAGTTTCTGACTGCTACTGCAGAGAATGAGCAGAGGGGTGTAGCTAAGGACACACGGATGCGCAGCTGGCCTCAGCAGCAGGCAAAAGTGCACACAAACACAAAGAGAAGTCCTCACAAAAAAAGAAACAAGGCAGGCTAATGTAAAAATAAACACAACATGAAATTTCACACACTTTACTCCCAACAGAGTGTGCCCTGCTTCTTTGGAATCAAAGCTGCACTCTGCCATTTCAACAGATATTTCATTACCAAAGGAATCTAACTTCTGAACCAAGAAGGGGTGAGTGTGAAAACTGACAAATTACTGTAAGTCTGTAAGACTAAAGATTTTGTATTAAATTATAAATTATGCTTAAAATGATCAACTACCTTTATCCTGTCAAAAAAAACTAAAAAAGGCTCCAATACATTTCTTAAAACAAGGCAAAACTGACACTGCGTGAGACATAGGTGACAAGTTTTAAGGGTTCACAGCAACAAGAAGCATCAAATGGCTCTCATCTCCTGTTACTGCAGCCAATGTGCCTACTCCAGCATCTGAGCATGTTTATTTCATTGAGCAGGAGAAGTGCATTCCTGTGGCGGAATGAAATATGCATACAGCAAGTCATGTAAGAAAATGGATATGTAAACATGGAAAGGGAGCAAGAGAGGATTAAAAGGATGGGGGAGGGAAGGGGATTTCTGAGTTTTAATGCGGTAACCTTTGCTAGCTCGCCCGTGGGAAGCCTCCTCCATGGCAACATTAATAGGAGTCTGAGAGGCGTAATGAAAGCGTGAGTGAATGAAAGCACTGCACGCTCCCTCTCTCTCATCAGGGTCTTGGTATTATCAGACCCTTTCTGCCACTTGAGGCCATGAGTGCTATTAATTGGCTGTGTGTGCTGGGAGTGGGCTTTAACATGGAACGTACATGCAGAACGATTACAGGCCCAAATGCCGCCTCTCCCTTCATACAACCTGTGTACATGCACAGAAACAAACACAGCTCAGATATATTCAAGGGACAAGTCACGTATAAATGTTTAGGGCAAGAGTCTGCACACAAACAAACTGACCACAGAGAAGCTATGAGGGTTAAGCAGTTAGAGATTGCCACCATGCTGAAGAAAACATATTCAAGTTAATCATGATAAAAGGCCAAACAAAAAGAAGGAGACAGAACTACAGTAAACATAAGGTCACGTAGGCTCAATAAATGTGCACAGGCCTCAAGGTTACGGCTCACACACAACCATCTGCACTATAAAAAGTTCACAAGGGAAGAAAAAAGAAAAGAGAAAAAGGAGATTATAGTTATAAGTTATAATCATCTTGGCTTAAGAACAAGGAGCGACAGTTTGTTGCCATCAGCATTCATTTCAGTCTAATGCAAGTGTATTACAGAACTCACATGCTGTCTCTGGTCTATGGCAAATGGCTTCATCAGACCCGCCGCCACCTGCTGCTGAAATGCCTTTAATAGGCTCTGGTAATAAGCCTGATGGAATAAAACAATTTCAGTGATCAGGCAGAAGGGGGTGGGGGGAGGGGGGCAGGGACCAGCAATGGAAGGAACATGAGCGAAAGAAAAAGACACCCTTAGGGGAGCCACTGCTTGAGGAAGAACAGGGAAGGGGGAAACCTGAGCGACCAAAGTCGCTTGCAGCAGGGATTCAGTCAAAAAAAATTCCTCATGGAAAAACTAATTACAAAAGAACCGGACGAGCATGGAAAAACAAGGGAGGACGCTTAGAAACAAATTAGCAAATTAATTGAAATATCTACAGTGCAGGCACGCGTCATTAAGCCTGGCTAAAGCGGGGGGTGAATGTATGTCCTCCTACAGGGAGTGGATGGGCCTCCCTCCTCTCTCTTGGTTTTGGAGGTAAATAATTACTCTGGGTGAGGACGGAAAGAACAGAAGCATCCATGAACAAATCCATAGAAAATTGTAGCATGTGGAAAAATGTAGCAAATAGTGTGCAGAATTCGTTTCTGGGATTGTAGTCATTTGTTATGTAATAAAGGCACTGGATATGGTTCTCAAATGTAAATATCATAATATCTACATTTCTACAGCACAGTCAGTCAGTTCCAAACAAAATTTTGATTTCTCTCACACAAATACACACAAAAGATACATATAGGAGGGCAGACTACTAAAAGGCCTGCCCTCCAAGCTAGCCACTGTGGCCTTTCAACTCGGCTAAGATAAGTTTTTCACTATTCACAGTAGCATTGGAGGGCCAGGGTCACAAACCATGCAAACCACCCGAGTGAAGACCAGGAGACCAGCTACAGCCCACCGACCTTTATCAGAATCAAAGCACCTGATGCTTCTCAACTAAGCTGGAAATAAGCGAAACGTCAACAGCATCAATAAGCCCTCGCTCAGCGCTTAAACTCCAGTGTTACTGGAGAAATTTAGCTGGCGAACTGACCCTTTTCCTCACGGTAGCAAAATAAAAAGACGTCTCTCTCTGTTCTACCAATTTTATCAGCTTCTGCAGGTCAAACAAGTGCAACATGCACCACATGGTTCAACCTCAAATGGGGCAGCAGTGAGGCGCCGGAACATAACTGCTGCAACATTTAAGCTGGAGCAGAAAATTCAAATAAGAAGCTAGCAAAAAAATTATATTCCAGGATCCTGATACAAGGATCAGCTACATGCAGTGCACCAGCAGCATGTGACCAGCATGACAGGGAAAAGCCATTGAGTGTTCATTTGACTCTTACCAGCGAGCAAGAAGGTGATGAGGCACGTCTCTTTGGGCATGTAGAGCTTGAGTCTGGAGCCACTGAACACATATTCAACCACTGCCTCTGAACGGCCGGCCCTCTGCAGGAATGGCAGAAACTGCTTGGCTTTTTGGGTCTCCTGCACAGAAATATGCAAAAAGGCACATAATTTTCAAATGTTCTTTAAGCTTTAGTAATTACTGCCTAATAATGCCAGTGGAGTAATGAAAAATGCACAACAAGGTGTCAACTACACCTCAACAACATCTTTCAGGCCTCCCACTTTCCAGTAAGCCTGATTTTTCCCCCCAGTACTGAAAGAGTTTCTGCTATATGTTTAATTAATTTATTCTTTCCTTCTTGTGTGTAGTTCACAGCAATAAATCTTGATAAGGCAATATCATGCAGCTTTCGACGCATTTAGAGGCCAAGGCTGAAATAAAATGGGACAGAATGGAAATTTAGATGTGAACAAAAATATGTAATAGCTTGCATGATGGGGTTTTGGATTTGGAGGAGATATGCTACTATCAACCGCATAATGCATTCGGAATATGTACACACACAAGTAATCATCTATATGGGTATTACGCATCTTTAACTTAAATGATGGCTGCTATAGTGCATTTATATTTGAGAGATAAGACTAGATAATAATGAGAGAAGAGAGAGAGTCATGTATGAATACAAGCAATGCCATTTTAAGTGGAAAGGGCATGTCTATAATTTCAGTGGTTACGTGCTCATTTTTTCCAAGTCTGACAGCCAGCGGTTTTACAGATAGGTAAGCGGATGCTTGGAGACTGGGGTATGAAGGCTTAATTTAAGTCAAGCTGTTTCCTGTGAGTCACCCTGGGCCAAAGAGAGAGCCACCCACTCCAGCTGGAAATATCCTACAGCTGTGACCCACACAGGATTTTTTTTCCCTGAGACAGAGCTGACAGAGGAGAGGAATGCAAGGATAACACATCATATACCAGAAGCTATTTTTGGATTTGTCTAATTAAAATGCTCATTATAAGAAGCTGCAGTTCGAAACACCATCAAAAACAGCCAGAACCTGGAGATCTCTGGATATCCCAACACACACAACCTATCACACTTGCTTTCACTCAGGTAAAAGGCTAGTGATGTGCCTCCTTCTGAATTCTTCTCCTCTATAAGCCCAGGTGACACACTGCACAGAAGAGTGAAATGTAGTTCATTAAAAACCCCTGGACCATCCTCATAAACTTGAGATTTAAGACAGAGGGAGGGAGGGAGAGAGGGAGAGAGGGAGGGAGAGAGAGAGAGAGAGAGAGAGAGAGAGAGAGAGAGAGAGAGAGAGAGAGAGAATAAAGAAGAAAAAAAGGAGATAAAATAACATGACAGAAAGGGTTAGAACAAAGTCGGGGCCTGTTAAACGTCACTTTCATGTTTTACATGCAGTGGGAGGAGTATATCTTCTCTCATTACTGAGCTAACAAACTTTATTGGCCCGAGTAAAATTTAATCTTCATTTGGTGAGCAGCCCAATCAAGATTCATACCCAGCATGGCCCTGGCCCCTGGCACACGTAAACAACTTAAGCGCTACAACTGAGATTACTTTATTAATGGAGCGGGCTATATTTAGAGAGGCCTTCATCAAATTAATGTGAAGGGAAATGGAAGCTACAGCCATCATGAATCTGCTGTCAGAGGACTCCAGCATCACAGAGATTGAGACATGGGTTAGAGAGCAGCAATTAAACAACTAAAGCTTGGAAAGAAGGCACCCACTTATAGCCACACTGTATTATTTATTTATTTTTTTGGGGGGGGGGGTAAACAATAGAGATACAATAGTTTTCTAAGCCCAATCTTCACAACCATCAGGGAAAAAAGAAAAAAAAAGAAAAAAGAAATTCATGTGTATCTTGACACTTCATGCAAACACACAAGAAACAAACATGAAACACATACACCTACCCCTGAGATGTCAGCCACTCTGTGAATGGGTACCTCCTTCTTGCTGTGAAGTCCTTTCCCGTTCTTGATGGCCCTGCAATGATTCAAGCAAACAGCATTATGGCCAGTCATTGAGGGTATTAAAGAGGGGCTATACTGGAAAAAGATGGAGCATTCCTTTAGACCATAAAGCCCAGAAAACCATCGCAGACCCGGCCAGAGAAATCAACACTTAAACAGGACAGCCATCCACATGGCCTCCGCTCACCCGCCAACAAGCTGCTGGAGGCATAAAAGTCCTTTACTGTTTCTTATGGGTAATCCAGACCCAGTGGCTCTGCACTCTAAGGTATCATACAGCAGCATTAGCAAAGCCTATTACAGAGGCACTGTGTATTATAGGAACAAAACAGCGTGCCCCCCTGCGCTATGTGGGGAGGCATTAATAGTGCATAAGGAAAATTGGAGCCCTATGAAATGTTTGTAAGTAAGAGCGGTAGAGCCCACGGGCCCCTGCAGATTAGAGACAGGCTGTAGAGAATGAGGTACATGACTTTGGCCTCTTTAAGGCAGATGGCTCTGGGTCTAAAGGTGGCTCTATCTTCCCTAATGTCTAATCTTGTTCTGTGGGAGACTGAGTGTGTGTGTGTGTGTGCGTGCTAAGGTAGATTTCTCAGAGGGTATGGGGTAACAACCAGCAATCACTTCTAAAAATAAATTTGAGACCACCGTGCCTCTCATCCTCACCTAGTCCACAAGGGAGCATTATGCAGAGACAGAGGAGAGACAGAGAGAGAAAACGGAGAGAAAAGCTGTGTGTGTAAAATTGGAGAAAAAAGAAAGAGAAAAGCAGCTAAAGATGCCACACTTGAAAGCTTTCTGTCCTAGGGTTGGTCTATGGCAGACCCCCTTGATCTTAATCATGTCCACTGCATTAAACTCTAAATCTACATCGCTGCATCCCTCAGAACCAGTAATCCATATAATTATATTCATGGACAACGTGTTAAGGAAGGTGTGATTTAACACACTGTGGTGAAAGCCACAGGACTGTTACTGTCTATATGAAATGAGATAATTCAGATGATTTACTGGCTGTGACATACTGCCTCATACAAAAGGGACTGCATGCATATGGTGCCTGATGCTCTCACCTGGAATCCGATTTAGTTTATCCTCCCTATACCTTACCCACAGTTCACAAACAACTTATCCTCTACACTTTCCACCTCTCCATATCTTAATCACATAGCAACAAAAGCTAGCATCTATTTCATGACAGGTGTATCACCAAGTCTGGAAGGCATGTATCAACAACAGAGAAAGAAATTAAAAACAGGCCAATAGAAAGAAAAGCAGAAGCACATGGAGGACCAACCTGCACAGCTACTGATCTCTGAGTGGAGAGGAAACCAAGCATTAACACTAGTTTTCTGTTTGTGGGTGTGGTCTTACCTTGCCTCTGCAGCAAGCAGCTCATCGTAGTGAGAGGACCTCTGATCATCATCCTGACGATATCTGATTACTGTAGCAAGGCCTTTACTGACCAGGGCCTCAGCAATATTTCTACAGAGAGAGAGAGAGAGAGAGAGAGAGAGAGAGAGAGAGAGAGAGAGAGAAAGTCAGAACCAAGACTGAAAGGCCTCTGACTGAAAGTGTGGGCTGGTTTTCCAGTGTTTAGGTTTTTAGGCTGAGTAGGAAGCGATCCTCCTGGAGGCAAATCAGATTAAAAACAACCTGTACTGTGAGATTAACTCCTTGTTATATCAGCACTGCAACAACTGCAAATCTGGGCTTTAACTGAAGAATCCAGTGATGGTGGTTAAGTGTCAGAAGGGAGGTACTGCATAAGCAAGCAGAGACGGCTGATTGGGGGAAAATCAGACAAAAGGGCACAAACTTATTTCCCTACTGTCCCACTTCCCCATCTGGAACAAGAGGGTTTTTTTCCTGCTCATTTTCAAATTACAAATTGAGCAGCTCACAGTGAGTGAAGCAGCCCTGCTGTAATGATGTTCCTGTTTGCCAGCCTCCATCCATTATACACAAGCATGACACTTGGGCACTGACTCCCCCATGACTACAGAAGTCACGACTGGTGGTGCAAAATGAGGTGCACAAAAGTTAATCAGAAACACAAAGGTAACGTGATTGAAAGATTTTATGATTTGACTATCCTGCTCTGATAAAAAAAAAATATATATATGCAGGTCATGCAGCTATGTGGCTCAGCCCCAGGATCTCGTTGCCACCTGTTACTCACTCTGCTCTTTGCTGTTTGTTAGTGCATGCTGGGTAATCAGTTCAGCCTTGAGCATAGAACGACCTAACACTCCTGCATCATGGCCTTAAATACGAGAGAGTGTGTGCTGTGTGTGAGACAGCAGGGACACATGTTCAGTGTTCAATATTAACTACTGCAGGGCAAGTAATACACTAAGCTGGGACAGTGTTGAAAATCATCAAAATTTAACAATAAACGGCTCAGGACAGTTTTAGGGACAGAAACTTTTAATCCAAGTCAAGTAAGCAAGTAGGTAAGTCAGTGTCAGTCAGTCAGTCAGTCAGTCAATCAATCAATAAATACTACACTGAAACTCAAGTGGACTTAATCCCATCCTAGAGGTTTTGGATCAGAGTTCAGCTAACCTCATCCTTATTTTACCTTATGAAGAAAGGCATCAAAATGAGGGGAAGTAGGTATTTAGGGGCTTCAAAATTTTATTAGGCCTTGTTCATTAGTCTCTCTTCCCGGAATCTACATTTTTAATGGACAGCTCAGCAGGCAGCAAATTTGCTAGCATCACCAAATAAGTACAGGTAACACTTTAAAGGGATACCGCAACTTGCAAGCCCCATAGAATTTATACCTTCACAAAAAAACTGATGCCCGAACAGCTTCCTACAAAACACACAGCAGCAAGAAAGATACTAAGCTTTGGGTACTGATATAACAGAGCTTCATCCAAAAACCCATTACTACATTACATTAAGCCACACATCAAGAATTCTGTATTACAACCCTATTTCCAAAAAAGTTGGGACGCTGTGCAAAATGTACAGGTCTGGATTGCAAGCAAATTCAAATTTTGATTCGGTGGACCACATAATACTTTCTCACTTCTCCTCAGTCCATCATAAATGAGCTCAAGCCCAGAGAAGGCAGCAACATTGGCAGATCATGTTTGTATATGGTTTCGTTGCATGGTAGAGTTTTATCTTGCATTTGTGGATGCAGCGATTAACTGTTCACAAACAAGAGTTTTCAGAAGTGTGCAGTGATTTCCACTACAGAACTGCCTGTTTTTAAAGCAGTGTCACCTGAGGGCCTGAAGATCACAGCCAGCCATCTTCGGTTTTTGGTCTTGTCCCTTGCATACAGAGATTACACTGAATTCTCTAAACCTTCCAATGATTATGTACTGTACAAGTTTTTTGCTATTTTGTGTTGAGAAATGCAGTCTTTCACAGAAAGGTGTTAAACCCCTATTGACCTATTCATGTCACTGACCTGTTGCCAATTAACCAAATTAGTTGTAAGATGTTCCACCAGGCATTTTTTCTTTTTTTTTAAACCAGTCTTTTGGTACCTCATCCCAACTTTTTTTGAAACGTGCTGCTGGCATCAAATTCAAAGTGGGCACCTATCCTTCAAAAACAACATCACAATTTCTCAGTTTCAACATTTGTTGTCTTTGTACTATTTTCAATTAAATATAGATAATCATAATTTAAATTATTTGAACATCATTACATTCTGTTTTTATTCACATTTTGCACAGTGTCCCACCTTTGAGGAAAACAAGGTTGTAATTTAAATACATAGAAAAGTCAACAGTGTTGACTTGAGGGATTGATTCATGAATTGCAGCTGTACTTACATTCCTCCAATGGTGACTGTGGCACAGGTGCGTTCTGGGAAGGCAGGGACAGGGCCAGTTTCTGCAGCAGTAGTGGCAGCTCTGATGTAATCCACAGTGACATTGACCTGAGAGCACACGCAAAGCACTCCAACAGTCAGTCACACCCAAAAGGCAATACTCCACCAAGCAACCTTGAGTCTGTCAGGGGTCCAGCTATGGAGATATGAAGTGACCACTGGATTCTCATATGAAATATTTGCTTATATAGCAATATTCTGCTTATAACAAAACATCAAGTGTGACAGAATTATGCCTCAAATGAGCAACAAATCTAATTTGTGTTCCTTACAAGGGTTTACAAATCAACTAAATGACTGGTACTGAACCAAACACAAAGTACATTCGCTGGTAAAAGATGGATGCATTGTACAGTTTCATCCAACGAGGGCCTGAGAGACAAAAAATGTGTACAGACAAACACACACACATCTGTGTGTGTGTTTGTGTCTGTGGGCTACTTTCCAAGGTCACCCTCAGTCAGTGTAAATCATGTCAGGCTAGACTGTAGATCTCCCTAGAGGAGTACCAACCATACATGGAAACTGTTTATCACGTATGGGGAACGAGCAGAGGGTGGGGGATTGAGCCCATCGACACACACCCCTCCAAAGTGTGTAACTCAGAAATTTACCCACGCTAATCAAACATGAGCAATATCAATATAACTCTGAATGCTAGCAGAACTCTCCAGCAAATACTTAATAATTGAACCAAAACAGTCCTATCCAGGAAGGGAGGATGGCATAACCATCTTTGGCAACCGCAAACTGCTCATTTCACAACGAACCAGGAGACAGCAGTGTAAACAAAGTGCTCCTGTGTCAGAATTGGTCTCCATCTGTGCCCATCTCTCATGGAGGCTATTGTACCCTCCCACAGGGAACAGACAGCCTCTTGCTTTTCCTCATTAAAGCCGAGCAAACACACAGGAACAGGTATTTAGAGAGAGGACACATTCCCACCCAGGGGGAGGCTCAAATCCGGCCATTCCACTGCCACCAAATTCTTGATGGCCGTACAAAGAACAGGACGGATAGCCTGTCTCTCTGGCTGTTGGAGAGGCAAGCGGATATTAATCTGGAAGGCACAGGCCCAGCACGAGGACAAGGACACAGTCTTCCTGTCTCACTCTCCCACACTCCGCTGGGGGTGCAGAGATGGATGCTATGCTCTTGAAATGGTTTTTGAGATCAGGAACATTACATACACACACTCTCACATTAGAAAGCATGTTTTAGGGCTCCAGAATTGTCTAAACATCAAAGGCTTTACCCTATCAGGAGAAAATATGGCACATATAATACAGCAACAGAAAACAGGACCCTTAGCGTGAAAACCCTCATCAACTCCTTCAACTGCTCTCTTCCTCTCCTCTTTTTTGTCTGATCTATCAATCTGCCACAGAGACTTAGAATGTAACCCAGTCTGATGGACATAATGAAAATTCATTTTGCCAAGGAATCCTGTATATTGCCTGTGTAGACTCTTACAGGTGCAGTTTCACAGACCATGCCCTGTGTCTGCCTCAACAAATAAAACATTTTCATAAAATTATTTTTTATTATTATTAATCATGCATTTGTAGGTCTCCCAATCTCTCTCCCTGTGTATGGAGGAGACTGCTCAGCTCTAATGGGCAGGAGTAATTAGCTCAGGCAGGTGACCTGCACTACCCTTAAAGAAAAAATAAAAATGCAAACAAAACAATATTACAAAAGGAGCTAATGTGCTAGAGAGAGCATGCAATGCGAGAATGCACACGAGAGAGAGAGAGAGAGAGAATGAAGGTGAGATAGAAAGTGAGAGTACAAGAGAAATTGCAAGAAAGAAATTGAGAAAGTCAGAGGGAATTAAAGACCAAGCGAGAGACAGAGTGCAAGAGCAGCCATCTGGAAAGCAGATGATGGATTTAAGGGTTTTCACTAGGCGATGTCTCGCTAACTAATAGCTTCTCAAAGCAGCTCTGGAACTTTGTCCAGAACAAACTTCCCACACACCAAGTGTTCAGACCCATTTTGGTGGCCATGAAGTTTCACACAGGCCATTTCATCAAAATCATAACTGTTTAAAACAAGCTATGATTTTGTCTGTTATTCCAGCTTTGCTTTTGAGAAACTGTTTCCGGTCTATTAGCACAGCTATTTGTGATGATTTAAACTGCATTCTACCATTTTAAGTGCCAATAGCGCATATGAATAAAGACTGCTCCTACATGTTCCACTTTCACAAAATTCACTTTACTCCGTTTAATTCACTCAAGATAAAAAGTGTGTGGGAGCAGCCTTAGAAAAATTCTTTATCAAATATTTTTCACTCCAACGCATCTGCAACAACAAGGAGCTATTAGGTATATGAATGTCTTCCATTTGACTGCTGAAGCATAGCTTTACATTCAGAGAGCTTTACATTCAGAGAGGCTTCAAAGTCAAATATTTAGAAGTTTTAAAGAGATAAAATTGTCATCTTTTGTAGCTAGGCAATAAGCACAGTCACATAGGTACCAATGGCACATGTCCAATAATACATAAGTAAAATAAGCATGAGTAAGTGCATTTTACAGCATGAAGCTATTGTAATAGACCTGAATGTCATTTTGTTGGACAATCAAACCATGAAATTCATTCTGACAGCCTGGTAAGACACAGTTCTACTGCAAGGAGGACTGTGATGACGATGCAATTCCTTGGGCTGGGGCATTAGCCCTGAGCCTGTGCGCCACAGGTTAAACGCATGCTCCTGATGTGTGTATACGTTCAAGAGGGAAGGTGAGCCGTGCATAGCTGAACATGAGGGCTTTGCAGGCTTACATCCCTGAATGAGGAATCTAAGGCACTTGGGCTAGGTGTAGTGGGGAGAGGCTGTAATCCATATTTTATGGATTAAATGTGAGCTGCCGGGCCAGCACATGGCTGTAACTCCCTCTAAAGCTCAGCCAGGGGACGACTTCATACGTCTGCAGTTGCTACCCTCCACGCGCCCGGTGCTGGCTGCTTTGTTCAACGACAATTACACGGGTCTGCAATTCCCCTGGAGTACAAAAACACACTCATGTACATACACCACAACAACACCGTCCAACTCCAGATAAAAATAAATAAATAAGTGAAACAGTGTGCCCTGTGCAAAACGGGGAAAAAACAAGTAAGAACTTTGGTTCTGTGTGCACTCACGTAAACACAGACATCAAACACTTCTCGCTTGCTTTCCTCTCCCTCTCTTTCACCTCACATACACACGCACACACTTGCGAAACTCAAACGCGTGCAGTATACTCGCACCCACATAACAGGAACCACTTTGAGCGGGCGGGATTATCCGAATGTGCTCTTTCCTGATAAGTGGATTAATGCAACATTTTCATTTGACTTTTTCGCTGAGGCTGAGACCCTCTACAGAAGTGCTACTTATAAAGTTAGCCAAATCTAGCTTTGGATTATGTCACGAGTGAGCGCTGCTTCAATACGCAAGGTGGGGGGATTGGGTGGGGTGGGGGATTTTTTTTTTTTTGGAGGGGGGGTGAGGAGGCTGGAAAGAAAAGCGCTTCTTTGCGGCTTTCACTCCGCTCCCCAGTCCACAGTAAATTCCCCTCTCTGTGCCCATCTTCTCAGTGCTCTTTTCAAAGGAGAGAGCATGGCCTGAAACGGACTCCTTCAAGTACAGTATCTCTCTGCTCCTCCCCTTCCCCTCTCCTTTTGTTGAGTTGACAGTTGAGGTACAGCAGGTATGAAGGCACGCTGAGATGCATACAGATGCAACTGACATTTCACACAACATGTCTGGCTCCTACATGCAGACATATAGTCTCAGACGTCTCTGAGAACTTCTAAAGGGTGCCCTGGCCTGTGTACAAAGACCGTTACCAAGGAGATCGGAGCAGGCTTCAGACCGTCAATTCAGGCTGGACTTGGACACAAACGCAGCTATTTAATGAAGTCTGAGGGAAACTGGAGGCAGTAAACTGAGTCTCAAAGCACCCCACAGCAAGCAGTGTGCAGGTTATGAGGTGACTCCTGGTGTAAACCTTAAGCTGTAATAACAAGAAAGTGAAATACTACAGTGCAATCATTGCATCTATCAATTTTGGACATCAATAAACAGCAGCAGATGAGACATTTTATCCAGCATAAAAATTGGCCTATTTTGTGTAGTAAAGAGGTTCTGTCATTGCAAAGGACCTGTTTTCACCTCACACTCTATTAAAGAGTGCTGGATTTCGTTAAATTTTGTCACTGCTGTTGCCAAGGTAGCCAGAGACAGAAGTGTTTCTCGCCTCGCAGCCAAAGGCCCATTATACACACGAACACACAACCTTGTGTCCTAGCAACAACAAAACAAAACAAACCAGAGCATTTCTAAAAACGCTTTCCATGTTTACTGTGTAAAGTAAGCACCAAGCTCTCAGACACACAAAAGAAATCATTCTAAAAAGTTCTTCTTTTAACAGACTGACCAAAAAGTGGTCTATGTCAGGCCTTGGGCTAGCCCCTGCTGGCCTGTATGAAATTAAGGATGAAGAATACAGAGTAGTTGTACTTGCATTGCAGGAAATAAATAACTGCAACTTGCAATCACATTGGATCCTCCTCTCCAGTTCATTTTCACTTTTATCTGTTTTCATCCAGAGATGATCACAGGTCAAGAAAACAGACTTGTAACGGACAGATGGAAGTCTGATTTTGCCTCTGCCAATGCCCATGTGTGTATTGCTGGTGAAATCTCAGTGGGAAAGAGGTCTTGCTATATTTATGAAGCCACAAAAGATTGTACATGGGTGCAAATGTATAGCAAATATGTGACTCACACTGAGGTTCTACATTAAATGGACCTCACAGCACGAACGTGTCATTACCCCGCGTCTTTTAAACCCCAAGCCATAAACCTCACTTTACACAACCCATTACCATTTAATATGGCCCTAGATGATGAAGTGATTTTGCCCCCAACCTTGCACTTTTATCCCACTATTGCCAATCACACTGCACAATTATGGTGGAAACCTGATTCGAGGAAAAACAACAGAGAATGGTCTTGTTTCAAGTCTTGGCCTTCACATCTGGGTTCAACCTAGACACACTCAGTCTTAATTTAAACAAACATAGATTTATGTATAATTCTAAGGTACAATATTAGACAGTATAGTCAGTGAAGGATAACGTTTATGGATTAACTTCCACACAGCGTAATTATGCACAAGTGGAAGCGATACTGCATTCAATTCTGAAAAGCTTTTTCTCAGAACAGGTTTTACTCATTTTTTTTAATAAATGCTGCCATGAAAAAAGTCTTAGTGTTACACGTTCTGCAAAAACAGAGCACAAAGTCAAACTCATCAACATGTGACAAACAACGACACCTATGATACAGCGTTCTTAGAAGTTCCTCCAGCATTACTGATGCATTCATGATTCTTGCATTTTTAAACTTAACTTAGGGCGAATTTACTTAAGCATTAACACTAAAATGTCATTATCAATCCCCCAAATCTTATTTATTTATTTATCATTACTGCAGTTTGTCTGTTGCACAACTGACATCTCTGGCCACTGTTATCACATTATCATGCTTTACAATGACAGAAAGTGCACACATGAGAATGCGTGTGAATGAGCGAAAAAGGTGTGAGACGGAGCTTCTTCAAGTCACCAAGAGTATGAAAAGTAAAACCTAACCATACATAGGTAAAACGAGATCAACACATTAACTGAGAAGTTAATCTATTCCAACTAAGTATTGAGACCTCACCTTTTTTCCTATCAGCTTCTTCCTCAGGAATTCTCTGGCCTCGAACATGTAAGGAATGTCGTACAGTGGACGGAAGCGCTTGTCCTTGTCCTTGTTCTTTTCCTGAGGGACAGAAAAGGAAGGGGAGAAGGAGAGAAAAGGAGAGAGATGAAAATCAATGTTTTAAAAAAGCTCTTCTTTTCAAATCATTCATAACACTCAACAACCTAATCCACTCTTGAATGACTCCTATCCAAAATGAGCCACCTTTAACTTTTCCTAATCTGCAGATCCTACACTTCTCCTCCTTAATATCCTCTCACAGCCCACTTTTTTCCCTTTTTTGAATTTCATATAATTCTGCTCTACCCACATCCCCCACATGCTGACATGCTGGAACTGGCTGAGTATGGGTATCACTGTGCTGATCAGATTAGAGCTCTTTGCTCTGAATGACACAGTCACACAAAGCAAGGCATATTCTAAAACTGGAAACAAACTGAATGCAAATCAGGTTATGTTCTATCTTTTGTCAAAAAATTGTCAGAATACCTATTTGAGACCTCCGCATTGCAGACGTGGCCAGGCGCATATGAATTAATATGTGGGCCCTAGTCGCCTGTCACTGTATTAAAAATAGAAGAGTCGAAACGTTCGGTGGAGGGAAACTTGTGTTCCTGTAAGCGTCAGGTGTTCGGGCTTGCTGATTCTGCACTGCCAGGTGCTGCGAGGCAGATGGAAGTTTTTAGATTCGGTTCATTCAGGGCAACAACACTCAGAGTTTTGGGCTTGGGGGGTGGGGGTGCTAGCTCAACCAGAAACAAACAGAGTACAGGAAGCTAAAAACTGTTCAAAAATCAGCTATGTTTGAGTTAGAGAAAGTTCAAAATGCAGTGACAGCAGACTATGCTTTTGCTTGTGGAGAACTTTATGCTCAGGGTAAATACTTGGGATTTAACCTATATACATAATCTTCAAAAAGGAAATTCTTAGAAAAAAAAACATTCAGAGCTAAATATCTTCCCTGCAAGCACCAGTAAAGGTGATTCAATCCAGCAAAAGTTGGCAACAACTTTTTTGTTCCTAGCAAAAGTGCCTAATCCTGTCTTTCAATTAAGAATCCCAATTAAAGGTGAAATTTAGCCAATGTCTTGGGTTGGGGCGGTCAGCTTGCTAGTATACTGGGTGAGGAGGAATAAGCTTGATCCAAATGGTGCTGAACTGTGCCACATTGTGTAGATAGTGTTCAACAGGGAAGAGAAATAAAAACCCTGCCGGGGAAAGGAAGGACAACCCACTTTCTACCCAACTATAAATAACAATGGCAATTCCTTCTCCCTAAGCGAAAAACAGAGGGAGGCCGGCCAGGGTTGTGTTCAAGCAAGTGAGCACACATGAGGGGGATGGGAACATGTTTTTTGTCACCTTGTGCTAGGTTGAAGTGTTTGGAGCATAGCACACACCAGGCTCTCCACAGTGTGTAGGCAGGACTAAGAGTTAGGACAATTAGAAGGCCATGTTCTTTTGGACAAACAAAACACCTATCTACATCTATGTGCTGCCGAGCAGGCACTGACCAGATGAATTCACATAATTACGTGACCCATATGACTGGGTTAGCAACACGTGGCTGCGGCAAAGAGGTCTGGTGGCCTCGCACCATCATACAGACCACAGACTTAAAGGCATGGATTCAACACAATGTTCCTTTGATCAGTGAAATCGAGGGCTGCCAGAGCCCTGAGAGAGTCCACTGACTGGGAGGGAAAGGATGTGTCTCTATTGTATTTGGCAAATCAAGCATGCGCTGCTTGAACACAGCAGGTTGGTGAGTGAACCGTATAAGAACGTATGTGGAAGAAGCAGACGGCTACAACAGACGGCTACAACAGCTTTCCACTGATATGTGGTAGGAAAAAAAAAGGCATTCGTCATGCAGAAAAGCATCTTTAGCCATGAATCTCAACGGCCATGTTAAGACTAATTATTTTAAAAAGTAAATCACCAAAAATAATAAAATATTAAAATATACATGACTAACACTCTCAACTCTCTCTAATCAAAAAATGCTATTATCAGGCTATTATTTCAAATATTTGCCTGAGGTATGGCACAGGTAGAAAGTTAAATGACCCCTCAATTTTAATCAATTCGACCCAGCAAACATCACTCTCAAAACCAACCATGGGATAACTACAGTCTCATGGAGACCAACGATGCCCTAAACAAATAATAAGGGACATAGTAAACTCACTTTAAGTCAACTCACACTCAACTAATTCTTGAACTGGTGAACATTAAAAACAAATTTATTCTTAAAAAAAACAAACAAACAAACAAAAAAACAAACAAAAAAACACAATCTATACATTATTTTCTGTAAATATTCTAGCATTTCTAACCTCACAGTTGCATTTCACTCAGCTGGGCCCACTAAGGCCTAGATTTTGATGCACTACATCAGTCATTTTTCTTGTCAATATACAAAATGAACAACTGATTGCTGTAAATGAAACCCAATATAACAGACTAAGGCATTCATCATTAATCTATTTGGCACCCCTAGTAAGACTTAAGGAGGACACAGCATCATAGGTGCGAAAGCTCCACTCTTCCACAGCAGCCCTTGTGCTCTATCAAACCCAGCTACAGTGCACATTTTCAGTTAGTTAGCCAACATGTATTATTCACATACACTTACTAGGTGTTTAACACTGCCTTTGTAAAATACTTATCTAGGATGTAGGATGCTTTTTGCACTGGTTCAAGAGAGCAAACGTTAGCCAGCTAGTGTGACAGCAGTCATGCTTTGGGTCAACAGTAACTCTTGTATAACTAAGCCTAGAGCCTCTGGAGCTCCGCCAGTGTTTTTCCGAAACCCAGCAAACTTAAACGGTAGTTTGGAAATAAGTGATTTCAGCCTACAGGTCAGCTTACAAAGTCTGGCTATTGCAACCGTACAAAGTTCAAGTGCTTCGCAGTTGCCTGGATCATGTGTTATAGCAAACCAATAACAACCCAAAAACACAAGGTGGTCCATCATAGAACATTAAAACAAACTTTAATTAAAATTGCTCATGTGCAAGCATCTGAGAGGCTACAGCAGGTCTTTCTTGCACGTGTGTTCATGTGTCAGTATAAAAAGACAGAATACGAGGGAAAATCTAAGACTACTAAAGAGGTGGGTGGCATTGTATTAGCTCTGTATACAGTCACAGAGTGAGATACGAGCAAGCTTCACAAGATATGTATCTAAACTGGCCCAGTAATTAACTTTACTTGACTGAACATGCACTAAGCTATATGAACTTGCATAATGTCTTATGCACAATAATATACTAAAAGACAACATAATTAACGAAGATAATTAACAGCAAGGGAAATATTTAAAGGCCATTGACCACCTATCCAACTAATAACCAATCACGGCATCACTAGAGCTAGGACTCCCACTAGCTAAAGAGGACAACAAAGCACTTTTGCAAGTTGCTCTGGATGAGAGTGCCTGCTAAATGCTTTACAATGTTAGTTTCAGAAGTCCCCAGTGAAATCGACACTCATTTTAACATTATACATTTACATTGCACTAGTTTTAGTCTCATGATATTGTTATCATGATTTCTTGTGTGTAGTATATAGGGCTGGGCGATAAAATGATTTCGATAATTATTGCGATATAACTTTCCTCGATAGAACAATAAGAAACGATCGATACATTTTCGATATAATACACCATGTTCTAGAGCGAAAGCCCTGGTGGCATTTTCTACTACAAGGAAAGCGACACTACTCTGCTGTCGCCAGGAGAGGGCGCACTTCCGATGTTTGACATAATTACGGAGGGAGGGGGCGACAAGTAAAGCTGAGTCGCCAAATATACTTTAGCAACATTAGAAACGTGGAGTTATACATTCCCTGTTTGAGTGAAGCGACCGGCGATCTGTTCTCCTGTGACCAAGTGTGAGTGACGAGATAAGTGGCGTAACTGTACTGTCCTACCGTGAACAGTTAGCAGCTGGCTAACTTGAAGCAGCACTCAGTCACTCGCACATGGCAAATTGATGATACTGTAGATCAAACAAGACACAAAAGCACCGCTTTCAGTTTAAACATACCTAAAACAAGGACTCTGTTTGTCTGGTGTTAGATATATTGCAGTTCACCCCTCAAATTACTATAGAGACATCCAGTCGTCTGCTAGCTGGTGTTTGAATACTGTGATATGCTCTGACATGGATGCGGTAGGAGTGATGGCAGTAAGGCGGTGTGATCCATCACTGACCTACCGAGCCAGCTAATGTTTGTTGTTCGTACTAAGCTGACGCTATTGAGAAACTAAACAGTTTAACACTGTTGTTGGCCAATTGTTTAGCATTTGTAACGGGATAGCCTAGCACTCATCACCAGACAGCTAAAAATAATCTGTTTTCTTTCTTCAATTATGACCATTACAAAAATTGCAGCCGTGCTTTTCCAACTGGTAGAAACAGCTGACTAGACACTTTCTCCCACTCTCCCATGACACATTTGTGAAATGTTCCACTGTTTGGTGAGTGTTTGTCTTGTTCTGACCATTAAGGATAGTTTACAGTGATCAACCACTCAGGAGCAAAAATCAGCCTTCAAACTTAAAAGAAATAATGATTTGACATTTACTGGGATATGTATCGATATCGAACGATATGAATTTTGTTTATCGTGTTATCATTTTTGGCCATATCGCCCAGCTCTAATATAGCGATTTTGTTTTACCATGAATATTAAGTAGCAGTCTTCAATAGTAACTTTAGCTACTACTCATTCATATATCAATGGTGTAGGTCTACTTCAGACGGATTTTTATCAATACACAATTCCTCTTTATATCATACAGATTACAACAGTTAGGCAGAAAGAGCACACCGACACTATTTATAAATTTCTCCTGCAACATCTTAATAATGAATTAAAATAACTATAAACTGAAAGGTTTATTAACAAAAGACAAAGCACTCTGCCACAATAACAGCTTTGAATGATATTTAGACAAAAGCTTGTGACCTTTGTATTCAAGATAAATGCAATCACTGATGTTCATGATTATTAACTGCAAACTTTCAACACTTCAGAAAAGATACTTGGGG